TACATAGATGCTAGGCATCTGATTGGTTAAGAAGCGGGCAGTAGAAAGTACTATTCTCCTGAAAAATAATACTTATTTTGCCCTGTCGCGTGATGTGCAAAGGGGACAGCGATCTCTACGACGAAAGAGATTGACCCTTACCGCGCCACAGATCAGCAAGTCGACGATAAGCAAATATGGAGGCTGGTCGGTTCGAGCTCCTGCATGAAAAAGGACTAGCCTTGGCCTAGTATTACTTCTTAATGAAACCGATAGCAAAAGCATCAAAAGACAAATTAAATATGTCTTGTCTACTAGCAGTAGGCCACTAGCTAGCCTAGACTAGTCTAGGAAGTTAGTACATAGGCCTCATGAATCTATTTCAAAAACTAATACAAATTTTATTTTAAAATCGACTTAAAAAGGCCTATAATCGACGAAAAACGATCGGGTTTTTTTTTTTTCTTGAGCACCGGGAACAAGATGTGAAGATCGCCACCAACATTAATTTCTTTTTGCACGTGATTTGCGTAGTAATTGTCTTACTACCTTTAGACCTTGCAACATGCTAAACTAAACCAACCTACAGAAAAAAAATTGCTTCCCTAACATGTGCTTGTTGACAGAAGTCACGGATGATTCGATCAGTACCCTTACAAAAATGTCCTATACGATCCTATAAGAGAAAATCCTATAGGAATCTTATAGATTTTTCGTCACATGTATAGGATCCTATAGGATTATTTCAATAGATATCCTTTGAGAATTATACAGGAGTCGTATAAGTATCCTATAGGAATTTTAATATGTTTCCTATAAGATTCTTAATGAAATCTTATAGGAAAACTGCAAGATTTTTTAATGGAACAAATAGGAATCTTATTGTTATCCTTTAGGAATCCTATAGAATGCCTAAAGGAATCTTATAGATTTTCTAAAGGAACCTTATAGGAATCTTATGGGTTTCTTATATGAAATCTATAGGAATCTTATAGATATCTTATTGGAATCTTATAGGAGTCTTATATGAATGATATAGGAAGGTTATAGATACCTTATAGAAATCTTATAGGAGTCTTATATAAATTATATAGGAATCCTGTAGATATTTTAAGGAATCTTATAGATATTTTATTGGAATTTTAGATTTCTTTTTGGAATCATATAGGCGTCTTATAAGAATCCTATAGAACTATTTTAGTAATCCTAAAGATATCTTAAAGAAATCCTATAGATTTCCTAAAAGAATCTTATAGAAGTCTTATATGAATAATACAGGGTCCCTATAGATATCGCATAAGAATCCTATATGGTTTCCATAGGATTCGTATGGGTGTCTTATAAGAATTATATAGGAATCCTATAAGTATTATCTTTATTATCCTATAGATTTCCTAAAGGAATCGTATAGGTGTCTTGCAGGAATCCTCTGTGAATGCTTTAGTTGTCTCATAAGATTCTTATAAGAAAGCTATAGATAATGATTTATAACAGATTCATATAAATTTCTTATTTTTGTAAATACAGTATATACTGTTTGTTAATGTTAATGCAAGCAATGGTTGCTTAGTAAATTGTTATTGATTGGTTAGCTGGTTGTTGACATCCGTTGGTTCCATTCCCACAATTTTGTTTGCATGCACAAGCAGTATTGAATGATTGATGCATTTGATTTCGAGCTAAAGTGGCTACTGGATGGAAACATAATAATGGCTTAAACAGCTCCTGCAGACATACAAAATACACTGAGTTCAAGATATACAAACCATGATTTCTTTAATTAAATCATCAACTATGCATCATGGGGTAGGGATATTAATCCCTAGGGTCTCGATGACTTGCATATCCCTTCACATAATATTGTTCGTCTTAAGCCTTACTGATGCACATACTTCAAATTCCAGCGGTACCTAAATGCTTTACAGTCTTCAAATCAGTTTTTTTTTCTGTAATTTATATTAAAGCCTCAACTGGAGTTTATTATACAAAACCCTGTTCAAAAATCTGTCGCGTTACAGTTGTGTATAAACCAGCAATTTTCTGTATGAGCTGTCTCTATCCGTGCTTTTTCTTGTCCAATGGTAGCAAAGCAAATTGGAAATCTTGCTGAAAGATTCCATTGTGAATTCTGCAGAGTGACCAAACTAGGTTTGAAATATTGAATCATGATGACTTCGGATTTTCACCCTTGCTTCACATGCTGAAAGATATAACAAAACAATTCTTTAAATCAGAGCAAAGTGATACATGCAGTTGTCCTGTGCATTTTGAAACCCTTTTTCTTTTTTTTTTTTTTAAAGTGAGTCATGAAAAATCATAAAAATACATACACTAGGTCAAAATAAAAATTGAGGGGCAGGGCAAAATAAACACGAACTGTCAGTTGGAATATGAATAATGCTCTAATTGTTTAAACATTTTAAATCATAATAATTCAGCAAATTTTGCCGTTTATTGAAAATGTATCTTAAAATTTTCTACCCACATTTTAAATTTTGTATTTTCCTTCGACATGTATTAAAATAAGAGTACGATATGCGGTAGATGAAATAAGAGACTAGCACACTTCTTAATCATTAGTTTGTGAATTAGTTGTTCCATCCATTTTTTTTAGTTTTAAAAACATTAAAATACTGTGCAATATGTTAATATCAATTATGGAGTAGGCCATACATACACATTATTGATTAGTTGATAACATCCACCATTAGTACTAGTGAGTTCCTATATTTAAAGTGTTAAAAAACTTGAAAATTAAAAAAAAAATTATTCACCTTTGAAAGTCAGGTAATTTCCTGTTTCTCCGACTGCCGCAATAATGCTTTAAACAAAATTAACGCCTTCTTACTTCATGAGTTTTCACTTAAAGAAAAAAAAATTCCTTTACCAACAAATTCTGAAAGAAAGTCAACATATAATGATTAGGCGATACTTTTTTGATATTTTGGTTTGCAAACCCACTGTTCGACGAAGATGAAGATTTAAAATAAAATTTTATTTTTCACCAGTTAGCTCACCTGCTGCCGTGAATTGGAAATTGAGAAAAAAAAAATAATGTTTATTCTGTTCTGCAACATTAATTTACCGAAAGAAATCTTAATTTGTTCACAGAAATAGAAGCATTTAACAGATCAATGCAAATTGTTGTAAATATGAGGGAGTTTTGGTAATAATGATTATAATAACAGTAGCATAGGCCTAGCCTATAGAGGCATAGGCCACCCCTAAAAATTATTTTAAAAATCATATCATGGATTTTACAATAATAAATAAGTGAGAACACGGCCCAATTTACCACCCTCCAATACTTAAATTATAGGGCAGACTGAGCTTAGCCCTCCTTAGAACATCATCAGTTATGTCTTTTCTTAATAATAGGCCTAGGTCATAGCATATGCTTGTTATCCCTTAGCTAGGCTCCTATGCCTAAAGATCCAATCTAATCCAAACAAATCCAATTTTTGACTTAAAAGGCGTATTATACTAAGTCTAATACGCTAATTTAAACAACATTAAATGAATAATAATAGAAAAACAATTCTTACCTATTAGTACTACTGAAATGCTTCAGAAAATATGGTTAAACTGCCTGTTTCATCATCATGAATGTGCACTGAAAAAGAGCTCTAAAACCACTAACAAATTTCAGTGATAACATTCAAAAAAGCACCTTTGTTAATTTCCATGGCCTTCAGTGATAAACATGGATAAAGTGACCAATCAAATTAAGTAATTTGAGATTATCTGTGGTTGGCTGAACAGATTAAATGACAACACCTGTTATTGTAGCTTGTTAAACTTGTGTTTTAAAGTTGTATGTTTTATTATACACCGTGACCTAGACTTTGGCTATGTAATGGTAATTATACTGCCAGGACTTTCATAATATAATTTTTTTTATTATTATTTCAGCAGAATAGGGAAGCAGAGAAAACCTCCCAAAAATATGATAATTTAGAGGTTTCAAAGGCTTAAATAGTACCCTTACAGAAAAAAATCTATAGAACTATATAGACCTTATATAGAGATTAATCAATTTCTATAGAAATTAATATATTCTATAAAATTGTTTTATAGAGGAACTAGTTTCTATAGAATTCTATAACATTCTATATACACATATTTAATGTAAATTCTATGATCTTAACTTTTTTTTGTTTCATTCAATTCAATTTCATTTATTGACACATTCGTGTCTGACCAGTATAGTCCTATCAACATGTTTACATCTTGCATATTCAGAAATTCTATAGAATATTCTATACAAACTATATGACAAGTTCTCTGTAATAAAACTAACTATATAATTTCTATATTTATTCTATAAAAAAATTGTAGGCCTTTACCTGTATGTTTTTTAACGTACTATAAAAATTGTATAGGGACTAGGCCTATATCTCTATAGGAACATATAAAACCTCTCTAGAGTATAACATATATGAAATTTGAAAATAAATATATTTTATATAGTATATTCTGTAGAACTATATAATATTCTAAACCAAGAGTCATTTTAAAAACTGTAACTCTTAATAGTCTATAGAAAAAAAAAATATATATATATATATATATATATATATACTCTATAAAAACATTTATAATCTGTAAAAAAGGTTTCATCTGAAGAAAGTATATATAAAATGTATACAAACGCTATGTAAATGTTTATCTCTAAAAAAGTTTTCTTTTTAGATTGTTTATAGAGTGTTTATGGAGTAAAATAGAGAGTATAACATGTAATTTGAGCAAAATGTGATTATATCATAAATATAATGTATTACCATTAATCTTACTATTTTTGAAGTTTGTGTTCAATATTTCAACTCTAAACCATTAAATTTAGTCATTTTTTGAAGGCCATTCTACGAGAAACGTATATGAATTCACCAACTTTCAAACCGCCATACTTCGCTTCCAAACAATTTATTCACCTACACAAAATTCAGGCCCTACAGTATGTTCCGAAAGTATTTGTAGTGCATCGTACTCTGGTACAAAGCTTACGTAAATCTATATGTAAATGAAGGTAATAGCCTTGAATTAATTTAAAGAATACTGAACTTTTTCATGACCTGCTGAAAAAAGATTTGGAAAGCCCTCTGGCAGTGAAGCGGACCAGAAATGATGTAGATTGCGGTTGAGTACATGTTAAGAAACTAGTTGTGGTTATTGAAACATTAAAAAAATATTAAAAGCCAACTGAACAATCATCTGCACTATTTTCAGCGATATGAAACTAAAACCTATTCATGAAGTATATTTACACAACGTCATATGATTTGAATGACGTTGTGTAAATTATATACTTCATCAATAAAACGATGAAGTATATTTATACAAGGCCATTCTAATCATGTACAAAATAGTTAAACAGCTTTAAAGAACCAAACAA